GTGTGTGTGTGTGTGTGTGTGTGTGTGTGTGTACCGTGAGAGCCAGAGAGAGAAGGAGATAGAGACAGAGAGGAAAGGCCTGAAGAGCATGTGGTCTCCATCTCAGGTGCCCCTCTATTCCGCTGTAGTTGGAGTAAGGAAGTACAAGAGGCTTAAGTCGATTGTTATCTCACTAACAAAGAAAGAAGCTTCAACCAAACTTTGAAAGAGATCTAGCACAGACCTTCACGATAGGAGGCAGAGATGCTGAAGGAATGTCTTATAAAAGTTGCTCTGTTTCACTTGGCTCAGTGAGACTGAGCAGAGAGGGAGTGATGCTCACTCAGTAGAGTAGCTGACTCGGGAAAGTGGAGACCGGATGAGGGCAGACTTCATTCTGCAGCTTTGTGACTTTTCAGGAGGGAGAGCTCTCTCTCTCAGTGCCTTCCCCAAGAAGCAGGCTGAGCATAGTGTCTCAGTTTCCTGGATTGGGCATAGGCTGGGGCATGGAGCCCAGGCAGCCTTTCTAGGAGAAATCAAAACAAAAGCCAAGGCCAGGCCAGCCGACAAACAAGGGATGGCAGGGTGGTTTCACCTTGTGAGCCAATTTTCACCTATTGTAATAGTGCTACCAGGAACACAGGTGCACACATGTCTGTTTCCGTCCCTGCCTTCAACACTATTGTGCGTACACCTCAGGATGCTGCTCAGAAAATCTCTGAGGAGACATCCTAACGGTCTTTCAGATTCTAGCAAGGCTGTCATCACCCCCGGAGGTTCTCAAACAGCAGGCTGCCCCACTTGTGACGAGGGCCTGTCCCTCTTTTCCTCATCCCGGTCACACAGAGCTCTGACTCCTGGGACTCTGGGGCTCTTTTCTCTCTGAGCACATCCACGTCAGGGCCAGAGGCAGGGGCAGGGCAGGGCCTGGACGGCTGAGCTGACAAAGGGCTGTCTGCTAGGTGAGGGGCCTTTTCTCAGGACACCTGGAAGGCTGTTCTGATCACGGCCCTGGGGCAGGGACTTAGATAATGCTCCCCCCCCCCCCCCCACCTCGAGGGCCAGGCCCAGAGCTAGAATGGAGGGCGATCTCTGGATACCTGACCAGGTGTGGCTGCTGGCCACCCTGCATGCAGCCCAGGGGATTTTGTTTGGGATTAAACAAATCGAAGCACTTAAAGCAATTAGCGCAGTACTGATACATACTAGGTGCTCAATGAATGTTAATTTACTTTTCCTTTTTCTCTTTAAAAAGTTTTCAGTAAAATGTACATAAAAATTTACCATTTTAGCCCTAACCGGTTTGGCTCAGTGAATAGAGCATCAGCCTGCGGACTGAAGGGTCCCAGGTTTGATTCTGGTCAAGGGCATGTACCTTGGTTGCGGGCACATCCCCAGTAAGGGGTGTGCAGGAAGCAGCTGATCGATGTTTCTCTCTCATCGATGTTTCTAACTCTCTATCCCTCTCCCTTCCTCTCTTTAAAAAATTAATAAAATATTTTTAAACCATTTTAAGCATTTCAAAGTATACTGTTCAGTGGCATTGAGTACATTCACATTGATGTACAACCATCACCAGCTTCCACTTCCAGAACTTTCTTAGCTTCCCAAACTTAATTTCCATACACATTGAACACTAACTCCCTATTCTCCTCCTCCCCAGCCCCTGACAACCACCATTCTACTTTCTGTGTCTATGAATTTACTACTCTAAGACTGCTCAGATAAGTGAATCATATAATATTTGTCCTTTTTGAATGGATGGATATTTTGAATGACTCATTTCATTGAGCATAATGTCTTCAAGTTCATCCATATTGTAGCATGTGTCACAATTCTTTCCTTCTTAAGACTGCCCTAATATTGCTTTGTAAGGATAGGTCACATTTTGTTTATGAGTGGCTTCTGCCTCTGGCAATTGTGCGTATACCCAGAAGTGGATCCTTTATCCTTTGAACCACCTTTAGCAGATTTGACTTTCAAGAACATTAATAGGGGGAGAGAACCAAGATGGTGGCATAGGTAAACACCTGTACTTGCTGCCTCCCACAACCATATCAAAACTACAACTAAAAGACAAAACAGATATCAGAACCACAGGAAGGCTGGCTGAGTGGAAGTTCTACAACAAGAAGGAAAGAGAAAAGCACATCTAGACTGGTAGGAGGTCTAGATGCGCTTTTCTAGAGTGGAGGTACGGAGGTGTGTGAAATGGGCTGGCAACTGGATACGCTGTGGTCTTTTTCAATCAGGAGAGAGATACAAACTCCCGACTGCTTGAAATCTAGGTCCGGGCGAGACTCTGGGGACCCAGACTCATACGGGGAGACTCTGGCATTGGGCCGGAACACCAGGGCAGCTTTCTCTCAGAGGTGCTTGCAGTGTTCATTGTTCCTGCACGGGCCATGGGACACAGAGACCCAGGGACCTATTGGGGCAGGGCTGATGGGAAACCATTGCTGTTTGCACCCTTCAGTGATTCCCTGAGACCACGCCCCACCCAATTTACAACCCCACCCAAGCTGTGGACAGAGACTTTTGCATATGAATGGCCTGGCCTTTTGCAACCTAACCTAACAAACTGTAGGTGGGTCAAAGAACCCCAGAGCTTCCAAAAGAATGCCTAAGGCTCCTCAGCAGCCTGCATTTCTTCACAGCTGTGCCTCATCTGGGCACCTCCAAACCCCAAACAAAGAGGAGGAATCTGCAGATCTCTCTGTAGCTCCTGCTGGGTGGTCTCAGGCAGTGGCTGACTTTGCATCTCCTTGGAGATCCAAGAGCCAGTGTACCCAGTGGTCAAAGTGAGACCACACCAGATTACAACTCTTCAGATCCATAAGAGACACACTCAGG